TCCTAAATTAAAATGTTTTCATATACTGAATAAAAATGAATATTCTGCAGGTGACGCCTAAAATAACATCAGGAATAATGATGTTTCCTTGGTTGCTGCAGTAAACAAACCAGCTTAATGTCAAATCTAGCCGGATTTTATCGATTTCATCCAAATTAGGGCTGCACAATATATCTTTTTAGCATCGATATCACAATGTGTGCATTCACAATAGTCTCATCACAGAATCTGCAGAGTTAAATTAGGATAATATTTAACCAGGAGCTGCAATTCAGAAGATGAAGTCATTGGAGATTTTTAGCGTAGCATACTGAAACAATTTTATACCTTATAAAACAGCATTTAAGACTTTTAAATACATTTTAGAGGCCTTAAATTTCCCTAAATTGACTTATTAATTTTTCATACTTTTTTTAACACCCTGCAGAGACCCTGTAAGAGTGCAGTGAAGTCGTGATTATGGTTGACCAGACATTATCGTTCAAAACATGGTGGAGTCAACTTTTAACCTTAGAGTGAAATTTTAAGCATGTGTTTTAAGGCCTGTGACTGTGTAAGCTTTTCAAGCTAACTTAAGGTATTTGGGTGCAGCAAATTAGATATTTAAAGATTTTAATTGTATATTATGTTAGGGCTGGGCAGTTAAACGATATTATATTGAAATCGCGAGAAAAGTTATGTCTATAACAATGATAAGCTCTTGACTTTATATTGATCTAAGAGCCAATCACACAGCAGAAATGTGCAACAATGAGAATCTAAAAGTGTGTTGATATTAGAGATGTACTTAATTTTCAGCCACCATTTAATGGACCATCTATTTTTTGTGGCTACAGTCATTGTTGTGGTACTCTATTAAATCTGGAAGCATTAACAACTTAAATCGAAATGCATTTCATTATCGTTCAATATGGAAAATAGTTATGAAGATTGCATTTTTTGCCATATCGCCCAGCCCTACATTATATAATTATTTACTCTATGAAAATAATAATATTATTATTATTATTATTATTATTATTATTATTATTATTATATAGTGGTTATTTAGAGTTTCTAAATACTGTTTGACTCATAAATCATTATTTATTTGTATCCGTTTTATTTAACTTTGCTTGTCATTTATAAAATATTTACATTTTTATTGTATTACACTATATTTTGCAGATATGCTCGCCTACAGAATCATCCAAATCTATCTAAAATGATGAATTCTTTACAAGCTATTCAAGTAAATCTGGTAAATATCAGCAATATAAATCGCTATGAATGAAAATATTGAGTTTTTTTCCAATATCATGCAGCCCTATATTGAGCTAAAGTTTATAAGTTTATATTCACACATTCAGACTTTCTCCTTAATAATAATAATATTTCAGAGAAGTATTATTTGCAATGTATATATAGGGAAATCATATTAGCAGCCAATGAACATCAATTAAAGCACATTGTTTATAGTAAATGAAATAGTGCTAATGTTGTCTTAAGTCATACTTTCATGTAATTTCAGACCAAATATTCAAAGTAAAAATATAGGCAGCATGTCTAGTTGAAGAATGTGCAAATATTAAACCAATTTTACCTCAATCAGCTCTACTTGTTATAGTCACGTTTCTTTTGTTTTTAATATACATATAGTTGCTGATATACCAATAAAACGAGGATGTTCAGTCCAATAATATGACTTTATTATCGTTACTTTGCCTATTCCAGTGTAAGTGAATGAACAGATTTCTGCTAATAATAACATTTGCTCTGATACACAACAAATGATCATCAAAGTTATATTTACTTGACAGATCATTCAAACGCTCACAGCTGAATAAATGCAAACACTCAGATTGTTGATATAGATTAATATTAAGCCATCACAGAGCTAGCAAGCTAATGGGAGTGAAAAGAAGCTGCACAAACGACTACGAAGGAATGGGAGTATAATAAAGTAAACTATAATAACTTACCTTGATGAAGCAAGCGGGGGGATTTATTGATATTCCGATCAGCGTATTATCCGCATGACTTCAAAAGAGCAGCAGTAATGACGGCTCGGTGCATGAAACCGGAAGTGACGTTATCTTAAAGGGACAGCTGGTGTGTATTGTTTATAATAATCGAGGTCGTTTGTTAATGAATACACAGATATCAAATTATGTCTCATTTATTTTATAAGCAACAGTAAATGCACGGAAAAAATGGTAAATCATTGTTTAGATCATGTGGATTCGTTGTGTTCGTGATTATTTAATAAGTATGAACATGGATTTGCCTTAAAACTTAAGAACTAACGGGGTAAGAACAACTTTCCGACGGTTTTATGAAGGTACAGACCATTTCAATGTGGTGATGTCAATGGCCCATAAACATTTTCTGCTTGTTGTCAAACTATTTCATAACTTTAACAAGAGGCAATTCAAACATAACTTTACATTAAACCAGCTGTCATAACATAACATCAATATGTGGACCTTTTTGGGTCCTCAGAAGCTATGCAAAATAAAAATGTAAAGCAGGAAACACGTTAGGACCATTGTTATTGTTTACATCCCTCAAAATGGTCTATATGACTTTGACTCAAGTAAATATAATGTACTGCATACTTTGAAGTGAACGCAATATGTTTTAAGACCTACAGAAGCCTTAACTAGCCACAGGTTTTGTTTCATTTCCCCTTTACAAGAGCTTTGTAACTGTCTTCACCCAGAGAAGCTGAACTTGTGAAAAACGCACGTGTGTTGATTTATTATGAGTTTTGTTTATTTCCTTTAGTGTATTAGCTCAAACAGTGTGTCTTTTCCATTGAAGTAAAGTAGCTTTAATATTCACACATTCAGACTTTCTCCTTGATCAAAACATTTCATTTCATATTAGCAGTCAATGATTATCAAAGTACAACACTGTTCACGGTCAAATAAATAGTGCTAATGCTATTTTGAAGTGGTACTTGTATGCGATTAGAGGCAGAATATTCAAAGTAGCATGGTAAACAATATAGAAAGCGTGTCACAAGTTGTCTCTGAATGAATGTGCGAATATATAACCAACTTTTCCAGTGGGGTATAAATTAGATGTGTATATATACACACAAACCTATAATAACATATATTGATTTTGCTTCTAGTTAAAGACATAAAACGCTGGCATCTTGTTCATGTTTTAAAAATAAAGCACATGAAACATGTTTATTTAAATCATTTTATAATTAAAAAGATACCATTGCATTAAGTATACAGCAAAACGTCATGTGTTTTGCAAAGACAGCATGGCTAAAAACTGACAAGTGCAGGAGTGGAGGTTGGATCAGTATGCATACACCTTTACTTTATGCACTTCTCGGTCTTCACACTCTCGCTTTCTGTTGTAGTAGTAGAAAGTGTTGTCTCGACGCTGAAGCTTCTTCACAAAGCCGGTGTCTGGCCAGCGGTCAATCTAAACCAAAGCACAGCAGTTTTCAAAACATTAAGCATCTGAGTCAAACATGAGTTTGCCGTTTTATATAGACCATTTTGAGGGATGTAAACATAAACAATGGTCACAACGTATTTCCTGTATAACATTTTTAATTTCTATAGCTTCCGAGAATCCAAAAAGAGCCACATATTTGATGTTATGTTATGACAGCTGTTTAACATTAGGTTATGATTGAATTGCCTCGTTACAGTTATGAAATAGTTTGATAACAAGCAGGAAATGTTTATGAGCCAATGACATGGCCACACTGAAATGGTCTAAAGCTAGAAAGCACTTTCTAGAATGAATGAATGAATAAATGTTTACATGTTAAATGCTTTAAATCTCACTTTAAGCTGAATACTACCATCATGCCAAACAACTAGATGAATATTATGTACAGTTATCATGGCAAAGACAAAAGAAATCAATCAGAAATGGGTTATTGAAAATATTATGTTTAAAAATGTGTTGGGGAAAAAATCTACCAAACAGAACTTATTTATTAGGAAATATTTGTAAACGTAATATTTTAAAAGTATGAAATATTCACATGAGACTAATAACTCTGTCTTTGACTTTGTGAAACTATATATTGCTACAGTTTCTGTCTTTGTATGAATGCATGCATGTATATTAACTAATTATTAGGCATTCTATAATATAATAATGTATGATATTGTAAGCAGTGTGTACCTCAGCCTGTTTGATCTGTCTGTACTCGAGCTCATCTCTGTATCCTGCTTGCTGAAATCTGTACAGGTTCTCCACCTCACCCGTCCATTGCTTTGCTCTGCTCATAGACTTTGGTTTGGCATTATTATCCAATAAAACTGCGCACGCCATGCTTCCTGTGTATCATAACAAACACATCACACACACACTATTATTCAGCTTTGGAAACAGTGAACAGTTCAGATGCCAACAAACTAAAATGGTCATCAAAAATGGACGATTATGTTCAGTTATTTTAGTTTTAATTCAATAAAAATAACATTTTTACTATACAAGTGAAATGACTAAACACACAAGAGCTTCAGATAAATGACGATTTTAGAGGAAAATAGACGGTACTGCAAATAACGTTACGCCTTAACCACCGATTCAGTGTTAGTAAGTTACAAAACCTCATAAAACAGCATTTAAGCAACGTTATATAGTTTATACTTTATCGATAATAATGTTTAATGCGTACTTACGTCGACGTGTGTGCTTAAAAAGCTGACTTGTCAATAATATCCTCGTGTTAGGCGTCACTGTAACTTAGCAACAGGATTAAAACGGCCAGTCAAAAACAAACCCGGAGTTACACAGCTCTGCTGGACAGTCTGCATGATGATTTCTATAAGCTGGGCTAGAAGAGATGAACTGAATGTGCTCACTTATTTCAAAAAACGATGCATTTATTTTTGCGTCCGTTTACAGTTTTAGGGTATGTCGATTTACTTTAGTTTGTCGCGTTATTTTATAGTTTCGTACTGAGTCTATAGTCCTATAGATGGCGCTGTCGCATCTCCACTATCAGGTTACAGATGTTTATTTCCGTCTCACGTGATTTTGCAGTGCGATGCCAGCAGGAGGACAGGACAGATGCCGGGCTCTTGCTCTCCAGCCCGGGGAGAGCACACCCAGTGATGACCTAAAGGTTTACCTGCTTTGACTGTTTACTCAGCCTTTCACCATGAGCTCCTTCGCTGGCCGTATGAAGGAGTATCCCAGCATCTCCTTGGACCGCTTTGACAGGGAGAATCTGCACGCCAGAGCTTATTTCCTCTCTCACTGCCATAAAGGTGCATTTATAAGTGATATTGGATATTACATTACTCGAGGACTCCCCAGACTGAGTGAGAGGATACTAGGGTTTGCGTACACTTCTTTTATGATATGTACCTGTTTGTTTACTTGTTTAACAGATCATATGAAAGGGTTAAAAGGACCTTTACTGAAGAGAAAACTCAAGTTCAGGTCAGTGATGCTTCTACATATTGTAAGAGTTTATAAATATAAGTAAAATTTTTGTACGTTTATAAACTTTAATAGTTTATTATAGAAATGTAGAATATATCGTTTCAGCATCGGTATCGCAATGTACACACCCAGAATAGTCACATCGTTACATGTGCAATGTCCACTCATGATTAGTTGATCACTGATCAGGTACAATAGTTTATCCATAATGTAGTGAAAGTTTTAATGGTTCAATTGTGATTATTATTAAGCATTTCAAGAAAGCATAAAAGCACTAAATTTGTAACGTTTGAAGCTTTAGATTACAAAGATTATTTATTGTTTAATATGTTGAAGACTATACAGTGATATTTTGCATGTAGTATTCAAGCTCTGTGCCTGAACACTATATGATGACACTGTTTATTTTATTTTTACTCATGTATTTATCTGTGCTTGTAATTTGGTTAAGTATTATGCAAAATAATCCTAATAGTAGTAATCAACCTAAAATTATGAACCCTTCAAAAAAAAAAAAAATTTCTAATATTGTGCAGCCCTAGTTTATTACATGTTTAATAGTTTATTACATGTTTGTAAGCTAATAATCATCAAGTAAATACTCACAGTAGAGTTCACACTTTGTTTTTAAACTGGTAATGTAAATAAACGTTCAGAGTACAAATACTAATATATTTATTATATAGCATTAACATGTAGAATTGTAAATGTGATATGTACTTTATATATTACATTTTTATCATTTTAATATGATATATTGCTGTTATTTGAATTTTAGACAAGCAAGCAATTTAATAGCACTGTTAAATGTCATCTTTATCTACTCCAAGAAAGTTAGAGTATATACCAGGGGTGCCCAAACTCTGTCCTGGAGGGCCGGTGTCCTGCAGAGTTTAGCTTCAACCACAATTAAACACATCTGGACCACCTAATCAAACTATCTAGGTATACTACAAACTTCAAGACTCTGCAGGACATCGGCCCTCCAAGACGGCGTTTGGTCACCCCTGGTATGTACAGAATGTGTCTTAAATATATTCAATTGGAAAATTAAAAACATTGACAACCATTTTCTTTCCTAGTTTAACCGTCAAGCTGTACTGCTCATACGTCACAAAGGAGCTTCTGCTTAGTAACCCCAGATATGCATTCTGGGAAGATCATATCGTAAGTATTACTCTCAGTCATGCAACTTTTCACATGAGTTATTTTGTTAACCTGATATAACAACCTTTATCTTAATTACCAGGTCCCTTTGGAACTTGACAGTCCAACCAACATATCTCTCATAGATGAAAGCACAGGAGAGGTGTGTGTGTGTGTGTGTTCAGCATCTACTTCACTCTTTTGACCGTTTCTGAGTTGATCTGAAGGGGTGTGTGTTTTCTCTTCAGACAGAGGATGTGGTGGTTACTCTGCTTTCAGCGGGACACTGTCCAGGATCAGTCATGTAAGAAACCTCTGCCAAAATAAGAGCTTAAAGGGATAGTTCACACAAAAATGACAATTTACTCAGCACAATGTGTTTATTCTGTGTTAAACAAGAGGTTATGATGAAATATTTTTAAATCAGCAATCACTGACTTCAGTAATAGTAAAAAAGACGCCTATGATTACCAGTTTTCAACATTCTTCAAAATATCTTCTTTTGTTTTTTCATATTTATAAATATATTTATGAGTGAACTATCCCTTTTATCACTCAGTTTTGATTTATAACTGACAGGTTTCTCTTCGAGGGTGCAAAGGGAACAGTGCTTTACACAGGAGACTTCAGACTGGCTGTCGGAGATGCAGCGAGAATGGAGTACTTGCACTCTGGAGACAGGTTTTCAGATAAAGATTTTTTTAAAATGCCACATTTAGTAGATAATAATAATATAACACAAGTGTCCATTCTGCAGGGTAAAGGACATTCAGAGTGTGTACATCGACACCACATTCTTTGATCCCAAGTACTATCAGATCCCTAGCAGGGTAAACACACACACACATAGTCTCACCTGCAATCTAATCAGACTGGATGTTTCCATAAAGGTGTTGTTGTGCTGTTTCAGGAGGCTTGTTTGGCTGGGATACAGCAGCTGGTCCAGGACTGGATCTGTCAGAGTCCGTATCATGTTGTTTGGTTAAACTGTAAGGCAGCGTATGGTTATGAGTACCTCTTTACCAACTTAGGACAGGAGTTCAGCTCACAGGTGAGAGATTGTGTTTCAACTTTAGTTCTTTCTGCATTTGTGTTAAAAATGAACACCGTTTCTCTGCTGCAGATACATGTGAACAGCTTGGACATGTTTAAAAAAATGCCTGAAATTCTGTGTCACGTGACCACCAACCGTGCAACGCAGATCCACGCTTGTCGCCACCCGAAGGTTTGCTGGGTTTTTGTGTGTAGTTGTGAATGAGTCAGTGTGGATGTAGATCACAGATGTGTTGGTTTTGCACAGGATGAGGAGTTCTTCAGAGCGAACAGGTTACCCTGCGGCTCTACGGCTCCAGATGGCATTCCTCTGAACATCATCAGCATCAAACCCTCCACGATATGGTTTGGAGAACGGACCAGAAAGACTTCAGTTGTGGTGAAGTGGGTCACGATGGAGCAATAATATTCTGGCTGCAGATAATCGTTTTTATGATTAAAAAATAAATAAAACTAATATCAAGGTGTTGTAATAAATTAATAAACCGTAAATTACACATAAATTGTTATTAAGATTGAAGCCACTTAAAATTTCAAGCACATGCAAAGATCAATAATCTGAATTTAAATAAAAAAAGCTGCATAAATTGCACAGTTTAAAAAAGCTTTTATGTGTAAATATATTATAAATATTACATTGTATAATTTATTTTATGCTAGTATTTGTAATTATATCATATTTGTTTTACTTGATATACAATTTCTATATGAAGTAAATGTATATTTTTCACACATGTATATTAGGGCTGCACAACACATAGTTTCAGCATCGATATCGCAATGCACGAATCTGCAATAGTTACATCGCAGGATCTGCAATTTTGCGTTGAGATTGTAATTAACCAGAAAACAACTTTCTTTAGGCCTGCATGTGACTGTGCAAGATTTAAAGCAATTTAAACAATTTGGACAGTAGAAATGATTTAACAAAGAATAATTGAGTAACTATTTCTACAGTGAACACTATAGTAGTCAACATTTTAAGTGGATCACAAAAGTTTTTCAAATTTGTCATGAGACAAGAATGGATGTTGTTGAATTCTTTTATGAAAGGTTTTATTGTTATTTAACATTTAATCTTTTAATTTCTGTGCCTCAATACTGTTAGACTCTCCAGAACACCATAAAGCACAGTTTATTTCATTTGTATCCTTGTTTTTATTAATTTATGCTTGTAATATGTTTATTATATTTGATGCAGGTTCAAAATCATCACAGTCAATATAGAATGATGAATTCTTTCCAAATAGGGTTTTTCGTCAGATTGTGAAATTCTATTTATATATATTTTTTTATATATTCTCAGACTAATTATAAACAAACAAAATATTGCAATGTCAAATTTTTCCAATTTCGTGCAGAGCTAAAGTATATAGCTGATATATTACTCAATATAAAAACATAATTATTTTATAACCATTTATATATATATGTTTACATTATATTATATATTATAGTATACAGCTATACATTATATATTCTACTTGTATTCTATTTTTACATAGAAAAATAAGATGCATGTGCTGTTGAAACATTTAAAATGTCAACTAATTATTAAAAGTAAAATAATTGTTTATAATGTATTTATTTGTAATTCCAACACGTGTCTAAATGATTGCATCATTTAATTGTATTAAATTCTCATATAAAATATTCTTTGTGTTTTTTTTTTTTCAGGATGGGTAGCAGTTCCTACAGAGCATGCTTTTCTTTTCATTCCTCATACTTAGAGGTAAAAAATACTTGATTTAAATTGTATTCTTATTACCCGATACAAACATGAGTATATAGTAAGCCCTTGCTTATTTCCTGTGATTAGGTTAAGGACTTCCTGTCTTACATCTGTCCTGTTAACATCTACCCAAACGTCATTCCTTTGGGCAAGACTGTGGAGGACCTCACAGAGCTGTAAGAACTGAACTTTCTTTTCTACAGTATTTTATCATCTAGTGTCAATAAACACTCAGTTTTTAAATTCAGGTTGAAGCCACTGTGTAGAAAACATTGTGGACGAGAGGAGATTGTCTATAAACCACTCGGGGCTCTCAAGAGAACGAGAAAGAGAAGCACATCAGAAGGTAAGAGTAGTTTTGTCCTCCAAGTCTTGAGTTATTCCAGTCTAACCCTTCTGCACAAATCAAGGCCACAAAGATATTGAATCAATTGCCACAATGTCAGGCTTGAAATGATCCAATAAAACTGACACAATCATTACTGTTCAGATCACAAGTGCATAGGAAGCCCCTTAACCTGAAAGAGTTCTTCTGATTGGTTCACTGATTTGGAGCTGACATGGATGAGCGACGCTGTATGTAACAGTTGAAACTGTCAACTTGACAGGGCGTAGTAAATAGATGGCGTTCATGTGTGACGCGCTGCCAAAGACCAAGCTTAATGGTCACATATGGTCATCAATGCATGTTTACATTGGAAAAACAGAAAACTAGTACACAGGAATGGAAAAATGCATTCTGTGTGAACGGCTCCTTAAACTGTTTCAGACACAGAGAAAAACAGAGGCTGCAGTGTATGGTTTGAGGAGAATGTGTGCGTTTTTTACTTAGAATGCTTGTAAATCTTTAAAATGGTTAATATTTGCCCTCTAATTCCATTAAGGCTCAGATAGTGATGGCGACCTGTTTGAGGAGGTTTCAACAGCTCCAAGGCGGCGCAAGATTACAGTGTCTGACCTGACCACAGTTGCCATAAGAGTACGGCCTCACAGTGCTAATGCAGACTCACACGATAATGACCAAACATATTCCCTCATAAAGCTTTGTCCGTCTGCACACACATCCAACTATATGGACTGCACTGAATCAAACGATGATGATGATGATGAAGATGATGCAGCCGAACAAACTCCTGCTGCAGCTCCTCCTCCATCTTCCACAGAAAAGCCATGTTCAAAACACACTCATTCAGACTCCTCACTAACCAGTTCTACTCAGCCCTGTTGGGAAAAGTTCTTCAAGGCAGAAGTGGTGCTGACGGACGAGAGTGAGTTGGAGAACAGTCAGAACACACAAACGCTCTCCACTGAAAACACAGCGTCTCAATCACCAGAGCTCTTTCAGGATGAAGATGAAGACAGCTCCGTTCACATGAGCTCCTCTCAGTCTACTCATATATCAGACGCAGGGACTGAAAGCCTGAGTCAAGTAGACACGATCATGGTTCAAGAGGACCACAGTAAGGCCTGTAACCTCCAACACAAGACTGAAGAAGCAGTGGAGCTCAAATCAGACTCGCAAGTTTCATCTGACTTTGAGCTTCCACCGACTCCAGGATCTAAAGTCCCACAGCCTGAAGACCTGAAGGAGCTGTACAGGAAGTTGGCAGCAGGAGAGGACGTTGTTGTAAGACAGATTTTTTGAGTGCTAATTTTTTGGGGGGGGTTTGTTTCCCAACCCTGATCCTGAAGGCACACCAACAGTACACATTTTCAACCTCTCCCTAATCAAACACACCTGAATTAACTCATCAGAACATTAGAAGAGACTCAAAGCCTGAAGTTAATGGATCAGATAAGGGAGACATCTAAAATATGTACTGTGGGTGTTCCTCCAGGAAGGAACAGGGTTGGGAAACACTATGTTAGACAACACTTTACCTCATGCAGTTTTGTACCTTTTGCAGTTTTGTAAAAGCTCAGTGCCTTAAGCCAATTAATTAAAAGTCTGAAGGAAATGTTTTCAGTCTTACGATTAAATAAGATCATTTCAACTGAACAACATTTGGTTTTGTGATTGTTTTGGAACATGCGTCTCACACTGGATTCCTGGAGGGCTGCATGAATTGCACAGTTTTGCTCCAACCACAGTCACCATAATCAAACACAGCTGATGCAACTAATCAAGGTGTTCAACAGTACTAGACACTATTACACAGGTGTGAGTTGGAGGTGGATGGAGATGAACTATGCAGAGCTTCTGGATTCCCTCCTGGAATTGAGTTTGAGACCACTGATGTAGAACTTCAGATTGAGTTGCCTATGGGAGAAATGACTAGGAATAATAAAATGGTCAAACTACTTCCTCTACAAACTAACATTTTCGTACTGTACAGACAAAGTAGAATAAAATAATGAGAAATCATCAGTTTGCAACATCAACCAGCATAATGAGCTGTTTTAATGCCTAAAAATTCATTTAAATGAATGAGACCAGAAGTCTTGAGCCGAACAGATTCAAATGGCAGCGCTGGCCTGTACGTCAAGAATAAGGTCAATAAAGCTGAAATGAAATATAGTAGCTGAGAAATTTGTAATGGAGTATTGCAATAGCGACTAATTGAAATCTATTTTAAGATTAGGTGTAGAAGACACCAATGCACTAAAAACTGAACGGATTTTCATCTGCAGTTTTAAAATATTTTTAGTATAAATAACAAGAAATTGTGTGTTTGTATTGCAGCGCTACATTCACATTATGTCTAAATTACATGATGACTAAAAGTGTACTCTTACTAGGCACGGCTGCCTTGAACTGTGCCGAAGGGTGCTTGTGCCCCCTCCCCTCTCTCCCGATGGCCCGCACTCACACTGCATTTTCACCTTCCAAGCCGGAGCACGCTTACATCATCGATGATGCGACTGTTCAGTTTAACAGAGAGAGAAGCGCTCTCACTCAGCACAGGGAAGATTGCTCAAGTTATATCCTTTTGGATTATTTTTAGTCGTTTGGGATGCAGTGACACATGGTCAAATATTTTGCGGAACAGATCCACCATTTTGACGCTCATACATTTTCATAAAAGTCCCTGTGCTGGAGGTATTAGGAAGTTTGCTAAAGGTGCAGCTGTGGTGCAGTAAGGGGTTTGCGCCTTTAATAAACTACGACAGTTTGCGTTCATTAAACAGTAAGAATGATTAATAACTCCATATAAATCAGTCCCTTAAAAGTGACGTTGCATCTTCAGTTTTGGACTCAGGCATGCTTTGCACTCACGCTACAATCGTACCGCACCGCACTTTGGCACACCACTTCTAACTGAGCAAGGCTCAAACCACGCCTGGGCTCGATTCAGAGCACTCACTGACTGGTAGTCAAATGAACCAGGTAATGTGCCCTCGCACTGTGAGGATAGCTTAGTGTGAATATGCCAATGAAACACTCGTTATGTTAAAACAGCTGAAGGAGAAATCTTTAGGCTATTTTAGTTAGTTTTACCTCAAATGACTAAACTATTTTAAGTTTTTGTAACAATCCTGACGACTAGCTCAGAGTTGTATACAATTTCTAACTCTTTTATCTTTTATTCTAAATCTGTTAAACCTGCAATCGTGTAACTGCAAAAATTGCGAGCAGAAGTGAATGCACTGGAAATAAACTTTGTGGTTTGTGTTCTGGGATCTTTATTGCGTGCTACTGCAGTTACAGATGACAAACACCAAACTGCTTTAAAAAGCTGATAATTCTGCACCTGCTCAATGTGACTGCACCCAGATCAGTGTCAGTGAAGCACACACACAAAACCACCAGCAGCTGCTTCTCCATCTCTACATCACTCCAACAATCTTGTGCATGCTTTCAGTGGCATCAGTAAACTACACAGACTTCTTTAAATCCTCCAATGATTTGGCCTGTGCTATTACCACACGACTACTGTAACGAAGGCACATTTGAAGAGAATCATCTAATATAAACCAAAAGATCACAAACAACAGAACATGACGACTGCTAGTAAAAAAATGCAAGAGCATACAAATTAAACTGGATAATATAGGACAAATACTGCCGATATTTACTCACATGCTCAATTTTTATGGTCTGAAATAGGACAAAAGTATCTGGTCCAACTTTTTTGGTCAGTGTAAATGCAAAAGCTGAATTTTCATTGTGTTCCAAACGGATTTAGATCAACACGAGCATAAATACGTTTACTTTGTGTGTGAGCTGTTGCTTTACACGATCATGAGCTTGTGTGCTTGATTTCAAGGTGAGACCTCAAACAGCATGAGATGCAGGGGTTTACTGTATGGTATAATGTTGTCCTGATTGAAGGTTAAGATGCTGCTGCAGCTGTTTCAATGGTGATAGCTTCAGATCTGCCGCTGCTTTGCTCTGTGCACGTTACATGGAGTGAACCATCCCTGAAAAAACACACAACACACTCATCAGTAACAGCTTACGTTAGGGCTGCACATTATATCGTTTGAGCATCGATAATGCAATTTGTGCATCTGCAATAGTCAAATGCCAGGATCTGCATTGTTAAATTGGGATTATATATATTATATTGGGATTATATAGTCACACAGTTCAAAATACATGAGTTACTGCAAAGTTTAAACATAACAGAGACATTTTAAGCACTAAGAGTTTAAAGCATTAATGCACAAGCAATTTTACCGTTTGTAATTTAAAAAAAGAATCTTTATTAACCGATTTTAACAGTAAAGTCTTTGCAGCGTTATTTTAAATGAGATTTCTTTCAATTTTTGCACCGGATAGGATTTGATTAGCCTGAAAACCATAAAGCACTGTTTATTTTAGGTTTGTGTTAGTTCTATTGCATTTAGCTATAGTGTAATTTGTTTATTACATTTGTGGATGATTTTGTCCCCTACAGAATCATGCCAATCAATAGAAAATTAATATTTTGTTTCCAAATAGAGGCATTCAAGTCATCTGGTGAAACTGTATTTATATTGCAATAAATATCACAGAAATGTCAGATTTTTCATGCAGCTCTAGTTTACATACAGATAGAGACTTTATGACTGTAGATATTATTCAGATTATGGTGCATAACACAAGCAACAACCAATAAGTTTTCTGTCTAGACTGAAAGCAAAAATCATGCATAAGATAACTTAATATTTGACGTTTAATAATAGTCTAAGTGGAGTTTTTTTGAAAGCACAATTTATTTTATGCTAATCAAAGCTAAATGGAATCATTCAAAGCTGCAATAATAACAGTAATAATACTCAAACTTGAAAAAGCAGTATGTGTTTCAAACCTAGTTTATTTCTGTGATTCAACCTTCAACCTGTATAATCTGCATCATTATTTCACACGTCATATGATCCTTCAGAAATCATAATAATATGCAGATTTCTTAATTATCATTATTATTATTATTAAGCATTATGCATCAATTAAACCCTTCATTTCATTCATTACCTCTTCATAGTCAGCACTGTGACGATATCATGCAGCTCCTCTTTCGGTTCCAGGTCTCCAAGTACAATCTAGTAAAACCAACCACAGTCATATTCAAGCTTCAAGATCAAATGCACAACACAGACTTCACACTAAAATGTGCATTAAAATCCTGGACGGACCTGTGCGATTGGCTGCTGTGCCTGGAAGAGCTGGAGCCGCACTGACGACAGACTGCCAGGGCCCTGCAGCGTGTGCTGGCGGCGGGCAGGCAGAGGAGTGCCAGACGGAAATAAAACAGTGAAAACCTCCAGCCCAGAGTCATCCACTTCCTGAAATGCCAACACCACATCTACTCATCAAAAAACAGAGCCTGCTGACTACTTAATGAGTTCACTTGACTTTGAAGAAGAGTTTAAGAAGTGTTGATGTTTGAGCAAACCCAACAGACTCCATTGCAAAGGGAGATCCTTTCTTTTTTTTTAAAACAGAATTAGCTTTAAGGCCTACATTTAAAGCCTGGTAGGAACAATGTTATTATTATTGTAGATTTTAACAGAAACATACAAAAAAATTATATAATAATAGAAAAGGAAAAAAATGGATATAAAAAAATGCTGGTAGGAACTACACTAAGGTTTTTCCCTGGGTTTGTGACATCACCAACCCTAAAATATACATAAACTCCGCTCCCTGGGCATGAGGTTTCCTTTATCATGGACTTTAGCCAATCATGTAATGGTTAGCCAATCAGAACACACTGTGCCACAGTAAAAACAGTAATAAACAAAAAAAAAAATTTTTTAAATTATAATAATAATTTAAGCCTTCAAATACGGGTTATTATTGATGGAAATATCAATAATCATTGAATATTGCACTCAGTATCATGCAATATCTCCCTACCTTAAGGGTGATATCGCTGGCACAGCAGTCCACAGTGATGGAATCTTCTCCCAAAGCCAGACTGTCTTTTCCCACCAGGATTCCTGCCTGCATGGCAGCGCCAACCGGAATCACCTCATCCGGAGGGATGGAGTTCAGCAGCTCCACATCTGGGAATAAATCCCTGATCATCTGCTGCAGCTTCGGGATACGAGCTGATCCTCCACTTAACACCACCTTAGAATGTAAGCAGAGCGGTCAGTTTAATCTCAGGGGACAAATGACATCAATATAATCAGAAAATATAATCTAAAAAGACAATATAATCATACAAAATAAACTTAATTCTACTATTTGGGCAGAAATCAGAGAATCCAACTCAAAATTTAAAATACTGCATGATAAAACATGTCTGCTAATTTATTAAATGTAATGGTCATACAGTATGTTATGTTGTTAATTCTTTAAAAAATAAACTTTACAATTGAAACGTGCATCGTCTGATTTAAATGGAAAAAATCTATATCAATAAAAAACTTATTGCCACTGTGTTCTTTCAGTAACCACTAAAGCTTTTAGTTTGAATTAAATTTGATCACTGTCTATTTTCTGTTTATAAGTTAAGTTTTAGTCATTTAAATAATTATAGATCTAAATACAACTAAATAAAAAAATTGTTGTTTTTTGGCAACTACCTGAAATATCAATTTTTCGGCCAGAATTTATAATAACAGAAGTAT